TGTAGTTTTCTTCCATGATCTTCTGGAAAGCCAACTTTTGGGAATTCCTAGTCTTTCTCACCTTGTTATATAGATAGGAAAGATGCAGTTCATAGGCCTCACATGATGACCCTTTTTAGGATGAGGCTGGGTGGTCACTGGTGGTCATATTAGTCACAAATTGCTGATGATTAAGCCATGCAATGTCCACTTAGTTTCACTATGAAAAAAAAGTCGAGTGCCTCTCAAATAACCCTCGAAGAGAAAAGCAAAAGGACAGAGAATCGGCCTTGCTCATTTGTGTAACATTACAACATCACTACCCAGTTCCTGTAGCCTCTAACCATCCAATTTGAAAAGCAAAAAAATAAAAAAATAAGAAAAAAATTAGGGGTCAGCAACAAAAATAATTCCTCTCTCATTTGGGACATGGGTCAACAGCATGTCTGAGTAAATGAGCAGTCTGTCCTCTCCAAGTCACAGTAACAATTCCTCTGCCTTCCTTCTGCTTCTTCCGGATGCTTGTGATTGAATCAGCTCCTGTTTGGAGAACACCTTGGGCTATGACAGGGTTTCCCACTGCTCTAAACAGAACTGGGTGGCTCAATTTAACTACTTTTCAACTCTTCATCTAGGTCTCAGAGTATGATTGGAGATTACAAGGATTGTGAGAAACAGACACAGCACTTTATACACTATCAAACCACAGACCTACAACGGGCCTTACAGTGGTATTAAGGCCCTAGTAGACACACCAACCCTAAAGACACCAATTGTTGGCCCTGGTGCTATGGTTAATTGAAGTCAAATTGCAGGTAGGCAGGGGGGGTCTTATGAGTTCGGCTGCTTGAAGTTCCTCTCAAGAAATGGGAAGAGGCACTTTTAGTAAAATTACAGAAAAAGAGCTAATTACATTACTCCTAACCAGGTTTTTGCAACCCATGGTGTTGCAAATGTGTTGGCCCACAGCTTCAACATGCACCAATGGCATGATAGCAGTAATAATCCAGTACCTCTGAATGATACCAGACTAGGAAAATTGCACTAGTTTCATGGATGTTTCCTATTGGCCTTCAAGGATCTTTCTGTCAATTTTCTGGTAATCGTGCAATAACTGCAATAGCTGTGCAGTTATTATAATTTTTAAGTGTCTGCACTTAACGTGCAGTTTGCAGGTGCCTGGTAAATTCTGATAAACCACAAATAGATTACTTTTAGGTACTATATTTATCTTTACGCATGACTCTATATGCTACTAAAACCTTTGTGTCCATTTGAATATTGCATCACAGTGCAACAAAGGGCAACAATTTTTGAATCAACCTGTCACAAATGGGTTAATTTACAAAATGCATCCAAAATCTGAGACCCATGACTCCTGTGGGATTAAAATTTGGCAAAGTTTTGGCCACTTCTGTGCTGCCATGGTCAGCTGAAGTTACATCATTGTCATTTCCAACACTCCCTGCCAGCTTTCTAGAAGAAAAGTCAATGGGGAAGCTGGCAGGAAGTTAGAAGTCACTCCCATTCCCATTGTTAGCTGGCTTAAAGTTGCCAAGTTTGAGAAAGGCTGTCCTAGATTCTACTCAGGTAAATTTTACAGAGTTCTACTCTAGCAGCAATCAAACCACAGTTTCCCTATTTGTAAATGTATATATTGAGGTAGGATTTCTGAGCAAGCATGCACAAATTTAAAATAATAAAATAAGTAGTTTGGAAAGACAATAAATTATTCTGATTGGAATGAAGAGATTTCTAGTAAATTTGAAATTCCAGTGAATGAAATTGTAGACTCTTTATTAAAAGGAGGACAAATCCCATTTACGCAAGGAATTTAGTGTAGGGAAATCATAACGATCATCCCTTGCTCTCTTGCCTGAGTCCAGATGTCCTGGATTACAATTCCCAACATCTACTACCAAGGCCTGAAATGCCAAAAAGTATAGTCCATCATATCTAGAATCATCAGATCAAGGAAGCTAGCACTTTGCCCCACTGTCCATTAAAGCATATCTACTTAAAGTAAACAAGCAATTATTCTGCAATTATACAGTACTGCTTATCAAAACATGGTATTTCACTGGGGAAAAGCATCTTTTCACATCGTCTACATATACTTGCACAAGACAATGTGAAATTCTACCTCCTCTCAAATCAACAACTGATTGTTATGTCATAAAAACTATTTTCTAAGTACCAGGAAACAAAATCCTGATTTATGATTTCAGAAAAGCCAAAAAAATACTTGTCTTGCTTAGAGTCAGAGCTTGAACGGCTCCCAATGCAATCTTTTTATCATTTTTGCTTTGCTGTTGTTGTTAGTTGCGAAGTTGTGTCCAACCCATCACAACCCCATGGACAACATTCCTCCAGGCCTTTCTGTCCTCTACCATCCCCTGGAGTCCATTTAAGCTCACGCCTACTGCTTCAGTGACTCTATCCAGCCACCTCATTCTCTGTCATCCCATTCTTCTTTTGCCCTCAATCATTCCCAGCATTAGGCTCTTCTCCAGTGAGTCCTTCCTTCTCATTGGGTGGTCAAAGTATTTGAGTTTCATCTTCAGGATCTGGCCTTCTAAAGAGTAGTCAGGGTTGATCTCTTCTACGACTGACCGGTTTGATCACCTTATAGTCCAAGGGACTCACAGGAGTCTTCTCCAGTACCATAGTTCAAAGGCCTCAATTCTTTGGCACTCAGCCTTCCTTATGGTCCAACTTTCACTGCCATACATTGCAACTGGGAAAACCATAGCCTTGACTATACACACTTTTGTTGGCAGGGTGAGGTCTCTGCTTTTTAGTATGCTGTCTAGATTTGCCATAGCTTTCCTTAACAGGAGCACACGTCTTTTAATTTCTTGGCTGTAGTCCCCATCTGCGATGATCTTGGAGCCCAAGAAAATAAATTACCTCCATTTCTTCCCCATCTTTTTGCCAGGAATTGAGAGGGCCAGATGCCATGATCTTAGTTTTCATAATGTTGAGTTTCAAGCCAACTTTTGCACTCTCCTCCTTCACCTGCATCAAGAGGTTCTTTAGTTCCTCTTCACTTTCTGCCATTACAGTGGTATCATCTGCATATCTGAGGTTGTCATTTTTGCTTAGGCAACATTAATACAGGTAGCCCTCGACTTATGACCACAAATGAGCCCCACATTTTTTTTGTTAAGTGAGTTTTGCCCCATTTTATGACCTTCCTTGCCACAGTTGTTAAGTGAACCACTGCAGTTGATAAGTTAATTAAATTAACTAATTGGTTGTTAAATTAATCTCGTTTCCCCATTGACTTTGATTGTCAGAAGGTTGCAAAAGGCAATCATGTGACCTTGGGATACAGCAAGGGTCGTAAGTATGAACCCGTTGCCAAGCATCTAAATTTTGATCACATGTTCATGGGGATGCTTCAAATCATCACTGTGAAAAATGGACATAAGTCACTTTTTTCAATGCTGTGGTAACTTTGAATGGTCACTAAATGAACTGTTGTGAGTTAAGGACTTCCTGTAGATCCACAAGTAAGCAGAAGATGTTTATAAGTAACTGAATGCAATCAGAACTGCTTCTCTTTTAGCTGCCCATTCAAGACTGATTTACATGGTTTTATGAGGGATTTGTCATATTTTCACCTTGCGTCTTAGTCAGAAAAGTTAAACATTTGCTATGCATATGACAAAACTGAGCTAACAGACTTATTTGTAAGTAATAAACTTGGCAGCATGACGTGTATCAAATTCCTTAGTTCAACAGGATTTAGGCTTAGATAAAGGGCATTGCGTGGGTCTTATTTGATACAATGTGCTTGACTCAGAACCATGTGAGATTTTATTCTTAAAAAGAACTTTGCTCCAGGGAAGCAAAAATAATGCCAATGCCCGGCATATGTTGGTATCTCGGCAGCAAAAAAGTTCCCACATTGGAAGCATCCCTCCTCAAAGTTTAGAGCAGCCTTTCTCAGCCTGGCACCCTCCGGATGCGGGCAACTACCATTTAGTATAGAGAAAAGGACTAGGGGTGACATGGTAGCAGTATTCCAGTATTTGAGGGACTGCTACAAAGATGATAGGGGTCAACTTATTTTCCGGAGGACAAGAAACAATGGATGGAAATTAATCAAGGAGAGAAGCAACCTGGAACCAAGGAGAAACTTCCTAACAGTGAGAAAAATTAACCAGTAGAACAGCTTTTGCCTTCAGAACACTGGTGAAATGCAATTTTTTTTACTACCTGTTCTGTCGGCATGACTTGGGCGTGGTGTGGCTTGGTGGGCATGGCAGGGGAAGGATACTGCAAAATCCCCATTCCCTCCCCACTCCAGGGGGGAAGGATACTGCAAAATCTCCATTCCCACCCCACTCCAGGGGGAAGGATATTGCAAAATCTCCATTCCCACCCTACTCTGGGGCCAGCCAGAGGTGGTATTTGCCGGTTCTCCGAACTGTTCAAAATTTCCGCTACCGGTTCTCCAGAACCTGTCAGAACCTGCTGGATTTCACCCCTGCTTCAGAAGCTGTGGGCGCTTCATCGCTGGAGATTTTTAAGACTGGGCAGCCACTTGTGTGAAATGGTACAGGGTCTCCTGCTTGAGCAGAGGGCTGGACTAGAAGACCTTCCAAGGTCCCTTCCAGCTCTATTCCGAATCGGACTGAAATCCCGCGGAGAGCTGAGAGCATCTGCAAGGACGCCAGGTCTTGGATTCTCCACTTAAAAAGGCGGGAATAAAGTCGATCTGAAAGGTGTCACGGCAGGAAGGTAGCAAGCTCCCGCTTTCACACTAACTACACCCACACACACCTCCAGTTTAAATTCTCCCGGGACCCTTCTTCTGACAGACCCGGTTTGCACACCGAAGCTGCTTGGGCACCATCCGGGGGGCGTTCGCTCCGTCCTTTCCTTCCGAGATGCATCCGAAAGCGACTCCTTTTTGCAACGAGCAGCTGGAAAAGTTGCTCACCCGCCCGAGCGTCCACTCAGCCCCCCGCATCCCCTGTCCCACCCACCCAGCCCGGCGATCTCTTCCTTACCTTGTACTTCATGGTCGCGGGCGGGCGCGCGGGGTGTGTGCGTGTGTGCGTGTCGGTCTCTGCTCGGCGAAATCCGGTCCGATTTACAGCCAGCATCTGGCGCGAGCCGAGCGCTCCATTTCCCCGCCGCCTTCAAGCGCAATGTAAATAAGAGCCGCCGAAAGGATGCGCCGCTCTCCGCTTTGCCAAAGGGGCGCCTCGCACGCAAAAGGCCGCCGCTCCGCTTTCCCAGCCCAGTTCTGAGCTCATTGTTTTGCTCCGCAGCGGGCAAAACGCTCGGCTCGTTTGCATACCGGGCCGTGATTGGCGAGAAAGGCAGCCGAGCGGAGGAGGACTGACGGGTGGGGGGTGGGTGGGAGGTGGCCACGAAGCGGACGTCGCCCCGCCCTCCTGCTCTCTCTCTCTCTCTCTCTCTCTCCAATCAGGGACGCCGCTTTTAGGGTTTGAGTGCGACAGTCGTCCGAAGTTTTGCCCCGAAGTTGATCGCGGGGGGGGGGGGGGGGGATATAATATATATATATAACGTTTTCAATATCCTGGACCTGAGATCTGTTAATTAAACTAGGGCTGTCTAACCTTGGCAACTTTAAGCCTGGAGGACTTCAACTCCCAGAATTCCCCAGCCAGCAAAGCTGGCTGGGGAATTCTGGGAGTTGAAGTCCTCCAGGCTTAAAGTTGCCAAGGTTGGACAGCCCTGCCTTAAACGACTTCCTCCGCCAGAGTTTCTCTCAATGTTGCGGCGTTATAAGCCGCGATTTCCTTAGGTGACACGGTCCCAGCGGACGACGAAGGGCCGTTTGAGAAGAAAAGAGATCTTTCTTGGTTGGCTTGGTGGTGGTTGGCTCATTCAGTGCTGTCTCCCGCTCTTCTGCACAGGCTTTGTCCTTCGGGCTGCTCCAGCAAACGACCGAAGGAGGAAAAATACAAGCTCTCACAAGAAGCCTCCGAAACCTGATTTAAGAGCGCGGCCCAAAGCGTCAAAAGGAAATTCTCCTTTTCAAAGCGAAACTCTTTGACAGGAAACCGCTGACTTCGACTCTCGGGCCCTCGTTTGTCAAACGGAACCCGAGGTCCAAACAGACCTTCGTTGTTTCTCAGCCTCTTTAAAATTTAAAGATGTGTGGCGACTTTAAAATGTGTGGACTTCAAAACTCCCAGAATTGCCCACACTGAAATAACTGATCAGAAATCACAGGTGGCTGAAGCAATGGCCTGACACTTGATACCTGGACAAAATTAACCCCAGGTTAGTGTGTTGTGGAACAGCTAAGACATAAGAGATTAGTTAAAAAGTGGCTGGGACAGACCACATTAGCTTTTCTATAGACAAAAGTCTGGTCTTGTAGGAACCACCAAATCACACCTATGGTTTTGTTCTCCGTTCTCTCACAACCCCCGGGGTACCTCCGCCCACAAGGGGAATTTACTTTAATCAGACTTTCACAATTGCAGGTAAGTTAGGATTGTAACTCCAAGCTAAAGATGGAAAGTTGTGAAAGGCTTGAGTTAGTGGATTATGGATCACTTTTCACAGGGATTTTTGTGTGGCTCGAGCTCTATACGTTCTCATAATGTGCACCAAACGCAGGAACCGAATCATTTACTTGGTCATTTATTCTTCCACTGTGAGATGATAGCAAATCTAGCCTTATTGCTTTGACAGCCCAGTTTTGAGTAGGCTCTTCTATTAAGAATATAAGAACAACACTACTGAATCAGATGAAGGCCCTTTTTCATCCAAGATTTGTTTCCCAACAAGAAGTCTGTGCTACAATTTTGAGAATTGAAAAACTGTTTCCCCTTGTTCAGTTTCTCATGGTATGCATCGCATTATTTATTTATTTTATTTTTATTTTTATTATATTTCTATACCGCCCTTCTCCTGCGGGACTCAGGGCAGTGTAAAGCCAGGATAAAACATAGCATATAAAATTTTTAAAACATTTTAAAAAACAATTAAATAAATTTTGGCCCGAATTTAAAACAACCCGATTAAAACCGAAATTCGATTAAAAAACTGAGAGGATGGGATCAAGCCAGCCCAGCTAGATGGAACAAGTGCGTCTTCAGGGCCCGACGAAAAGTCCGGAGGTCTGATATCATGCGTATCTTGAATTTATGCAATTCAGTTATATTCCCTCTCGGCCTCTGTTTTTGTTTTTGTTTTTGGAGACTCAAATTGCTATCCTCTCTTCTTGTTGGAAAAGTATTCAAACCTCCCAATCATCTTGGTTGATCTGTACTTTTCCCAATTCTATTTTTTTTTTCAAATGAGGCCCTCTAGAATTGTCCATAGTATGCCAGGTGCCAGCATACCATGGACTTGTAAAGGGTCACTCTAGTGATGGCAATTTTATTTTCAATCTTTTCCTAATCGTCCCTAACATGAACTTTTTTCACAGCTGCCATATGTTAACTTCACTTTTCATGGTTACAGACAGTTCAGAGCCCAACAGTAGGTAATGGCAAGAAGCAGAGCTGTTCATGGGGACTGGAGAAATAATAATTTAAAAAACCCTGAGCTGGCAACCTAATATGGCTCATATATGAAATCTCACACAGAGCTAACGAAGCTTCTTGGATGAGAAGTGAAACATCTTCAAAGAAAAACAAGAAAGTCCAGTTGCCTCTTGAAAAAAGCATCTTTGGGTCTCACACATATAATTACATGGTTGCAGCCATTAAGTTAAGCCATTTTTGAACAACGCTGCCCAGAATAGAGCTGATGGGACACAAAGGTGCTTTTTCCTTACTTGTTTTTTTTTTCTTTTGAAAACATTTCTCTCCTTATCCAAGAAGCTTCTTCAATTCTAACAGATTGGTGGGGTAGTCCAAAATCCTCATGACCTGGATGATTGAGAATCTCCATAGACATTTAGCCCTGATGGGAATTCACATGTCACCACACCTTCCTTTTCTTGTTTTTCTACATTGATGGTCAATGAAGATAATGGCGGTTCAGTTTCATGCTGTTTTTTGACGGCATGGGGAAAGAAAATGGGAGTGATGACAGGAACAAGCTTTTGATAATGTTGGAAGGAGTATTGGCACAGCAGATGCAGAGCAGTCAGAATATGCTTTCACTGAAACTTCCTTTATTTCTCACCATAACCCTTAGGAATTCAGGGAGCCAATCAGTCCCTTTTGAATTTGGGAATAGTACAGTGTTTTTGTTTGCTTCTGTAGCCTGTGTAGCCTGTGTAGGATAGTAATATCTCAGTATCTGTAGAACAGCATTTTAGTTCTTCGTAGGAATTTAGCAAGTAAGGAAGTGGGCTTTGAATATCTAATTGCATTACACAAGGAACAATTGTCTCATAGTGGTTGAACAGTTGCTTTGTCCACTGAGACTCTGAACAAAAGAACCAGAAAGTAAAGAACAGGTAATTCTCGACTTACGACCACAATTGAGCCCAACATTTCTGTTGCTAAGTGGAACATTTGTCAAGTGGGTTTTGCCCTATTTTACAATCTTTCTTGCCTCAGTTGTTAAGTGAATTACTGCAATTGTTAAGTTAGTAACATGGCTGTGATGTGAATCTGGCTTCCCTGTTGACTTTGCTTGTCAGAAGGTTGCAAAAGGCGATCACATGTCCCTGGGACATTGCAATTGTCGTAAATATGAACTAGGTGCCAAGTGTCTGAATTTTGATCACGTGACCATGGGATGCTGCAATGGTCGTAAGTGTGAAAAATGGTCATAAGTGACTTTTTTTCAGTGTCATTGTAATTTTGAACAAACAAAATTACAATGACAGTCACTAAACAAACTGTTGTAAGCCAAACACTACCTGTACACAGAAGGGCCCGTTTGTGGTTCTAGAGCAGTGTTTCACAACCTTGGTGTCAGGGTTCCGACCGATGCCCTAATTAAATCATGAACCTCAAGCCAAGCTTCAAAAGAAATCCAGTTATTTATTAGGAGCTTCATGTTGGCATGAACCAAGTGAAGCCAACTCTGACCTCACTTAATTCGCGTCTTGGCTCTGACCATGTTTCCCCCTCCCCCCAAGGTGTGTCATCAGTCACATTCCCCAACGAAGCAATTTTGCGGGTTGTAGAAGCCACTCCCTCCGGTTACTGTGGGTCATCCTGGAGACGACCTTGATGTTGCTGGTTGGAATGTGCTTTGTTTTGACTGAAATGCAAGTTCTTCGATGCAACTGCGAGGCTCGATTCACCATACCCCTGCCTATGGCAACTAGAGAGCAGGTCAGGAATGCTTTGTGAGTTGACATTCAGCTTCCCTCACTTCCTGAAGGTGACCTGTGCAAAGCAAAAACAGTTTCAGTATAAGTATAGATTTTAGGGGTGCGCAACCCCCCCCGGCTTTGTTGGGTTGTCTTCATGGAATTTAGCTGTGAGGCAGTCAGCCCAAGATGGAATGAATGTATTTTCCAAGAAAAAGAAAAATAGACTCCTCTTTAAACAAAAGAAGGTATAATTGCCTTTCTTGATTACTACTCATCTTTTGACAGTTTTCACATTCACTGCATCTTAACTGGTCTTTCCCCTATCCCCGTCCTCAAGAAATGGTCTCCTATAATGCTTCAAATATTATTTCTGGGATCAAAAAAACACAAAGGTTTATCTTCCAAAGGAGAAGGGGGGGAAAAAGTGGGGGGAGGGTTTTTTATGCCTTAATCAAGTGCCAAGAACATAATTGTTTAAAATGACCCAAGTTGCCTGTTGGTTGCATTTGTGAAATAAAGGCCATAGTGAAAAAGTAATCTTGAGTTCACTAGGGAGCAAGCCAGAGAGAAATGAAATGGTGAAATACTATTGCCATTCTTTCTAATGAGGTTTAGATGATTCCTGGCCAGACGTTCACTATCTTGACTGGGAGAAACTCCAGCCAGACAAAATGATTTGAACAAAAAAAAAAAAAAATCTTGTCTGAGACTCAAAGCATTCTGCTAGTAGGACTTGGGATTTGTTTCTTTTATTCTGACCAACTTGGATCTGCACCAGTATTCCTAAAACACAGATGGACTCAGATTGCTTCCAAAGGTCTAAAAATGAGCAGAAAGCTGCATTTTCTTACCAGATTACTGTACGAAGTTTCCATTTCAGAGGAGATACAGCTGGATTTCCAGCAACCTTGAACAGGGAATCTGGATTTTCGTTCTTTTATTAGGTATCATCGGGCTATTTCTAGATTCATAAGAGGGTCCCCAAGAGGTGCTTAAAAAAACCAATGTAAACACATCAGGAGCAAACTGAAAATACTGCATTAAATGTCACACTCCATATATGTAGTTATA